ACGGCCAGAACACTGAGGCCATCTTCAAACCACAAGCTGGTCTCGGACTTTATTGCAGGGCTGTGCTTCCAATAACGGGTCTCCATACCAGAATTAGACCCATCAGCGTTCCATGAAGGGATCCACGATGGGAGGGTCTCCGGCCTCATCTCAAGAGGCTCAAAATTGCATGTCAATATTTGCAAGCCGTGTGTCTGAATCATAGATGCTGTGGCTTTGGTGAACACCTCGTTGGGGGATTTGAGGTAGTCGATTTCAACACCCAGCTTCTTTCTATCGCTCGCAATACCCGATAGTGCATATATTCGATCACGTGGATCTTGATATTCCGCAGATTGGAAGCAAGTCAAAAGCTCGTGTAGATGATTTGCAGAAAGCTTCTTGATTCTTCGGCACCAGATTTGTTGGAGATGGCACAGGCGGTCGATAATCTCATCCATATCCGGGCTGAGCCTCTCACTGATGTCCATTTTGTGAAGTATGAAGACAGCGAGCAGTAGCACCGTGTTCTGACTGATGATTCTATTGCCCCGTAGAACCCAGGTATTCCGGTTTAGCATGTTCTCTTGTATCATCCATAAACGTTTAGACCATGGGCCAGTAAGAATCTGCAAAAGGTCCAACCATGAAGAGTCCTCCGCCACTGACGTCCTTGGTTGGTTTAGAAGTGATGCCTTGCTTCCCGTCCATGGTCTCTTTGGTGCGAGGGAGATTTGAAATTCCAGTTTCTGGAAGGCACTCATGACCTGGTGGTAGTTCATCTCGAGTAGAGGCGTTATGAATCTATCGCAAGCCAAATCAAGTAGGAGGAAGGCGGCGCGGTCTGTGTGACGCGCCGGGCCGAGGTAGGTGATTACCGACCTGGCATTCGAATATATCTTGCCCATCAAGCTGACTTGCCGTTGTTTCTCCATGATGTCGTGCTGGTTTATGCAAATTTGATCGATCCAGAGGGTCTTGAACTGCCAGTTCGATCCCATGATATCTTGGATGGCACTGCCAAGGCTTGCAGTCACGTTCAGAAGTCCTTCCAAAGATCCATTCTGGTTACAAACTGGAAGTTCAAAGAGTCTATCTTCTCTACCCCACGGATAGGATAACGCAACATATTTTGCCTTGTCGACGTCAACATGCTCGATAGTACAGTAGATCTCTCTTGACTTGGTGGAGCGGAGATGCAACACGCGGATCTGGCCCGGGGAGAGCGGCCGATGGACATAGTTCTGCTTCCGGTAGCGGAAGAAGAGGTCGACTGTGAACTTGCGCAGCCACTTCCGTCTCGTCCTGTCCATCCTTGGGCGCAGCAAGATGGACACGCGTGGGCCAGCATCAGTTGGTCTCGCTTGGTCAACCGTGGGGTCCAATTCGACGAGATGAAAAGACTCAGGACAGGGCATCTGGAAAGATTCCAGAAAAGCTCTCACTCACTCACCTTCTTTCCATTCCGGACGCATCCGTCAGCTGATGGGGGCAACCCTGCGGCAAAGTGTTTCGTGACGCATTGACCCGGCAAGGATCGTCAAACAAGCTAAACAGGAAGTGTGGCCCTTTCTCACATGCTTACCGTCCCTCCGGCCAATCGAATTAGATTTTGTTCAAGAAATGCATATCATCCAAGTGTAATAATAGATTACTCCAAGGGGGAGAACCATGCGAACTCCGGGAGCGACACATGGGCAACTTCCACTTTGCCTATAATTGCTAAATATGGCAGGTAGAAGTCGTCACACCGTTACATCACAATCAGTATGTTTCTGCGGTTTTGAGAAGGTAAACTCAACGCTGTCGAGTAACTATTTAACCTATTCTGCAAGTTTGCGCTTGATCCGAGATCCGGCATCACTCCGCAAAGCCTCGATCTATACATAGTAGATCCTGAACATGGAACTAGGGTCGATTATTTGACATATCGATAGAAAGGAGAGCTGTCGCCCATTCGAAGCAATTGATCTACATGGCGATTTGTTAGCTCGCGACCCATGACCTTCCTGACTAAGTTGCCACCTACCATGACTGTACTTTGCCCTGATCTCGTCGTCAGACATGGCTTCTCGCGCCGTGTTGATTCGAGTTACCACAACACGGAGAACCATCGCAGCACCCACACCAGCGCACACGACGGCGAGCGACAAGCCGTACCCCAGCGGATATCTAGGAGCTTGACTTTCCAGGAAGATGTTGGCTCCAACTGCGCCTCCGAGGTTTCCGATGGACATAAGCAATGCCATACCAACTGCCCGTTTCCAGGTCGGAGCGAGATTGTTACTAATCCAAGAAATGCAGCCAATGACTGCTGGGTACAGACCAGAAGGAACAAAGAACAGCATTGCATATGTGAGCCCTGGAAGCTTGGGATGCGGAATAGATAGGAGACCGATGAACCCAACAGCTGAAATGCAGAAAGGGATGACGACAAAGGGCCAACGAGTCTTCTTGTGATCGGCGAGTCTTGCAAAGAGGTAGGTAGCAAGAGCACCAACAAAATATACAGGAATTGTCAGCAGTTGGGCATTTGCTGCAGAATAGCCAAGTTGCTGAATGATTGTAGGCATGGCGAAGCTAAATGCATAAATGCAAATCCTATTGAAATATGTCAGCCATGGGTCACGGTATACTAACAGGCCACTTACGTATTCCCCCAAAACATGATGATGCCGAGATAGATCTTATAGTCCAGCAGCGCAGCACGAAGATACCGCCATTGAAAAGCCTCCTCTGTAGCAACCTTCCCTTCGGAAGTACCCGAATCTCGCTGGAGTCTCTGTTGAATCAACTCTTTTTCTCTAGGAGTCAGGAATTTGGCCACAGCTGGGGAGTCTGGGAGTGTCCATGGGAGGATAGTGCCAATCAAAACAGTCATGATCCCTTCTAAAATGAAGATCCATCTCCAGCCACCGAGTCCCGCAACTCCCTCCATATGCTGAATCCCATAGGCTAGAAGGCCGGAAAATCCACCAGCTAGAGAGGCAGCGGAGAAGAAAATAGCTACACGAGTCTGGTACTCCCAACGACAATACCATGTAGTTAGTAAATAAGTTGCAGCAGGAAAGAAACCAGCTTCAGTAATTCCCAAGAACACACGGGTCACAATAAGCTGCTCGTAGTTTTTGACAATACCTTGAAGCGTTAGAACCTGTAGTTGGCTATCGGTTAGCTGGGTACAATCATGAGTTTGGTCAAGCCACCCACAGTTCCCCATGATATTACAAGAGCAGCGATCCACCGTGACGGCCGTGTGAGCTTCAAAATAACATTGCTTGGAACTTCAAGCAATGAATAGGGGAAGAAAAACACAGTAAGAGCCAGGTTATACTGAGTGCCTGTGAGGTTGAGATCTTTGTTCATGCCGGCAACTTTAGCATTTCCGATATTCGAGCGATCTGATCACTTGCAAGTTAGCTTCGGTTGAAATACTCACATGGCAGCACTCAACCATACCCATAAATGAGAACACATATAGAACCGTCAGCAAAGGCAGGATCCTCATGTCAGCCTTGCGGAGTGCTATTCGGGCTTCCTTCTCCTCGTCCTCAACACTTCCTGCAGCAACAGATGGCGGGTCATTCTCTGGCAAATTTTCGACAGAATGAACCTTCCGCACCTCCTCAGGGCTCATTAACTTCTCCATGGTGCTTCAATTCGAGTGAGTCTGGGGGGTATAATTTGCAAGAATGAAAGAATGGACTCACCAGACTGTCTTATACTCGGAAGCTTACCGTATGACAAAACCTAAATTCCCCCGTACCGGAGCTTTTAGCATCTACAAACTGCAAAGATCGGCCTCTTTCATTAAGATACACATTGCGGTGGCCCAGTTCAAATTCCAGGTAATAGTTTATCCGCATTCCTTGCAACAAAGCCCCCTTAAGATCCCCAACACATCTTACCCTCGACAATGTTTCAGGGCGGACAGCTCACCAACCCAATGATATTTCAAGACAATACGCTGGGCAACTGACAATCGCCTTGTAAATCTCAAGTAGGCCCGACAGAACGTTTCAAACATCCCATATAAGAGCTCCACTTCATTGTCTCACCTAGCAGTGAAGAACCCTGGTCCCTGGCTTACCCGTGTTGGCTTCCGAGAGCCTTCTGTATGTAAGACCGATTTTCGAATCTTCCTTATTAGTAGCGCTCGTAATATGAACACTTGGACTCTTGTGATCTACATAGACTCAAGCAAGTTCCACATAACATCTAAGCTAGGGGTCAAAGATGAGACTGTTTCCGTTTTTTTTTTTCAGACTGATACTCTACTTCTTCACAAAACTACGCCAATGAAATATGATGAAACCAATGGTAGTCTCCTTGCCGACACTCTCTTGTATTTCACTACTAGAAGCATCGGATCGTTTCGTCGAACGTTGCGTGCAATGTATAGATATAAGATTCAATAAATTCCTTTATTTGGAAGATATGTTCCTTTTCATGGCTAGACCTAAGCTATTGAAATATATCCTCACCGGTTTTCGGAAGCAAAAACTTGCTCTTTTAGGTTAAGCTGGATGTACAATCATGCCAAGGTCAATCAAGGAGAATTCTATTAGCAGGATAGGGCAGAGCCATGAGAAATGCTAGAGGATAAACATTCCAACTGTAAAATTCTATGCAGACTCTACTGACAAGGCATGTTCAAGAGTACGTAATTGCCTCTAATCTGGAGCATTGAATATACCATCACATTCGGCTAGAATTCGTGCGTGGATCCCCTCTATAAGGAGCAATTTTCAGAATATATGATTCTTCGTTCGTCTGCCCTAATCTTAATTGATTCTACTTCTCACAGAAGCAGAATCTCAAATGTAGTAGTTTCAATAATACCTACTCTTGTTCCACTATCCAGGAAAGAGATATCAGATTGATTTCGAATAGCCGTAGCATGCTTACCAAACGAATGATATTGCTCTTATCATAACAGGGTGATGTATTCAGTGTGTTTAAGGTATCATCAGCCTGCAATATGGCAACTTTCTTTCGATTGTTCAACGAAATTTGAAGTCTCAAGGCCAAATGTCTGAGCCATGATTTCCATTTTCTCTCTCTGCCTTTGCCACTGCGCACTCCGCAAGCCGTAACATCTCGGCCGCCGCGCCATGCAAGACCAACTCATTCTTGTTGCCCCTCCTCATCAGACTTCGCGAATGAAATTGGGTAAAGGAAAGGGTCGCCGCTTTGAGCATCTCAAGATCCAATTTAGTCTGTGGATCTAGAGGGTGCCTCAAAATATTAAAGAATATAGTCATGACGGCGCTTGAAGGGTATATCATTAATGCCCTGCGTGGAAAGTACTTAGTATTCCGCACCAGATGAGCTCAAGCTCAAGGTCCAGCGAAAAGGTCAACACTCACCAGAATGATTCCTCCGCTAAACTTTTGACGGCGGCCTTTAAGTAAAATAATGTAGATCGACTTGCTCCGACTGAGATGTCTCTACTTGTCTTCACAGCAGTATGACTCTGAGAACTTTCAGATGAAGGCGACCCCAAGGACGCATTCTTGGGGTATCGTTCACTTGCACGATGAATCAATGCCATTAAATGATGGTACTCCAACTGCAGATGAACATGCCGCATATTTCCGAGTAACTTCATCTCTCCGGTAATATGCTGGTTTCTGTTTTCTGAGATGAAAAGTGCCGGTCGGAAGCGTTCGGGTAATGACATTCTCCACGTCTCGATCTCATCGTCCAAAACTCTCATATCATGTAAGAGCTGGGTATCGGACTTGGTTGATCTATCGGGAGCATAAAGTGAATTATAAACCCGATATTTGAGGCAGCTGAGCTGAGGGTCACTAGTGTAATGCGGTACCAATCTCCCTTTGTTCCAGGGCTGCGACCTCAAGTCAACCTCTAAGTCCGGTAACACGGAGTATACACTCTCATAATTGTCTGGCATGGTAAGGTCACAATCATCGTTGGTCAATTGTGGCGGGTTGCCTGTGCGTATTGCCGTGTCCTTATCAAAAATAAACGATACCCAGAACAAAATGCGAAGCTGACGGTGATATCGTTCTTGAATGGCCATCCCTGGTGTATCCGGTCCAATTCTATAATACTTGTGTGCCCCAAGAGCATACACAGATCGGCATGAAATTGATCCTAGGATTAAAACATCTTTCAAACGCGAACAGGAAATTCGATATAGGTGCTAAGTGAGAATGGAGAGGTCAACAGGAGGCTCAGCCAGTGCTCGTGAGTTTCAACAACTTACAAGCAGAAGACTAGTTTGAAGCGTCGCAAGGTTGACGTCTTTAGATGTGGCGACCAATAAACTCTGAGCAGTGTCGGCACACATATCACCATCCACGGGTGGCTGGATCCCAAGACGGCCTCTGAAAAGATAGATAATAGCAACGAATGCCCACACACAAGCCTGTGCACCCCATCTCACATGTTCTGGTGTCATTCCCGGAACCTGGTATGCCAAGTCCAAGGTCTCTTTAAAAAGAATCGGATCGATCATTGGGAATATTAAGGGCCCAGCCGAGGAAGCAAAGACCCCGAGGATTCCTTCCACCATGTCTCTAGGGGGTAGCGGCTTCTCCAGGTTTTTCGACATGCTGTCGGCATCTTCATGGGGCAAAGATGACCGTGGGACTTCATCGGTTGTTTCAAAGAGAATAGACGACACAGACTCGCCGGTATGAGATTGAATCCATTTGCGTCCATCCTCAGATAAATCGATGGCACGGTTCCCGGGAGTAGCTTTCCCTATGTGAACCCCATCAAGATAGATTGGCCTGGATAAATCAGAGAGCGGCACGTTAGTTTTGTCCATCAGCTTGGGCGCAAGCAGGAGATGCGCACACATAATACTCAGCTCGCGTCTTATCCAAGAAAGATGGAGGATCATTGACTCCACCACTGCAAGACGGTGATCCTAAAGGCGTTGCGGGAGTAGTATGGTGAGGCGCCTCACTGGTTGCTCTGATAGATGAAGAAGAAGAAACAGTCTTGAGAGGTTGGGTTGTCGTGGCAGGCCGTAGGGGTCGCGAACCTCCAATGCAGCGCTTGTCTCTGAGGAAGTTGATTGTGATCAGTTGTTGGTTATTACGTTTTGCCATGGGCCGGTAAGGACACAAGAGGGCTACACTCTAACCTAGCAGATGTCGCTTTACGTCCCCTCACTCTCTGAAGGGTGCAAGAAAGATCGTGATGAAGACACCAGTTACAAGGCACGACCCCTGGATCCGGAGAATCACACTGTATCTAAATGGCAGCAGGAGTCAACCAAGCATTCATCTCAGTCTTAGAGTCAGACGGTGCGGCAGTACCTTTCTCTTATAGCATCCATCACAAGCTGGTTTTCTCTTCATGGCGGGAGCCTTCAATCCGGCAGTTTTAGATCCTCAAAATGCCCCGTCGCTGTGAGAGAAATCACCAGCCCCCGAGATCTCCAGCAAGGAGAGATCAGATCCGTGCTCCATCTAGATTTCATGATCGTGAGGTGCACTGATCCGAGCGGCCCGTGATAAGCTGAGTCAGCCAGGGCCTTCAGCGCTTACCGTCCCCTGTAGCGAACCCCGCTGCAACACTAACCTCCCTGAAGTTCAGGCCATGCAGCATTAGACACCAACTGAGTGGTTCGCCGTTTTTCTTTCCAAAGAGGAGGAAGAATTGAAAAAAAAGAGAGGATATGGGCCAAGCGATAATTGAAAGATACAGTAATAGTCAAAACGTCGCGCTGAGGCAGCTATACATTTTCCTAACTCCTATTATCTACCTAGGCGTAGGAGAGCTGGCACATTAATAAGGTACATGCTGGTAGCCATTCCCGCTCAGCGCTTACGCTGGCAGGGGCACCTGTTTGGGTCTTGCTTGCGAACAGCAAATGCGCCCGTGCACCTCCATCGTGGAGCTGTCCCCTCGCCCCAGAAAAGGTTGCCTACAGTGTACCTTTCAGGGGTGTTTCAAAAAATCAATGGAATGTTGTGATGATTCTGCGTCTTTTGTGAGGCGGATGCCCCAAATTGGAATCCCTTATCAGCGATTAGATAAGCGGCTCTCGCGATGAATGGTTCAATTCAAGGCAGTAATTCAGGGCTGGAGAGCCTGGAGAGGAGCTGCCAAGACCCACGAATTGACGACAAGGCACCTACGTCCACTACAGAAACAAGCAAGGTCCTTACTCCGGATTTGCTTTACCCCAAGCGTGAGCTTTACATTGGCAGGGGAAACTTCGGCCGCTCAGCACGCACGCACGCACACTCGCATCACGCGGAAACCGAGTCCGAGGGTTGAATTGGGCCTTACCGCCTTCTCTGCAACTCCAGCCATCGCTACTCTCCCGCCGGGACTCCCTCTGAGGCCTCTGAAGCAGCAGCTCTATGCACCAGCCGTATCATCTACGTCAATCACCCCAGCAGGCGCGATGCAGGCCTAGTTCCGCGTTTCTCGCGGCTGTCCCCGGTCTTACCTTTTTCCGAGAATTGACGACATCGCAACCGAGCACCTTCTAATTGCTCCTCGAGTCGATCAAGGCACAAACACCCCTCTCTCTTGGAGTTAGGAAGGGAAGATGTCGGCATTTGCGGCAAACCCTTTGCCCCAAGTGTCAGGGTTCACCCAACGAAATCTCGATCGCCAGAAACTGCGGTCGTATCACTCACATCCTACGAACCCCTCCCAGCACCACAATACTGCTATCGCGGCAACAGCGGATCCGACGACCTCCTCGCAGCCATCTCTCCAGTCGACAACGAAAGCTCAGAACCGGGACAAAGCGAAGCCTGTACCGATGGGCAGACGAACGGGGGCGCCGGACTGGAACGAGTTCTACAAAAATGGCCTCCCCTCAGAAGTCATCGTGATCGAAGACACCCCCGAACCCGACCCGAACGGCTCAATCAAAGAGGTTGCATCATACCATATCATCGCACCTACGATACCTCCGAATAGCGCAACAAAGAAACGCAAATACGAGGATGACTCTTCTTCGATATCCACCAGTGCCAAGATCTCCAGCAATCAGTCACTGCAAGCCTCGTCCAAATCGACACCATATGACGTCCCTTCACCCTCGACCTCCTCCAAAGATGCACGCGCTGCCAAAAAGAGAAGAACCCGGGGCCAGAACACAGCCGACCGCGACGGGACGCGTCAGTCACCTAGCGTTGTTGGATACCAGGGATTATCGAAACCAGCTGTCAAGGCCAGAGACGTCGCAGTTCGGCGCATTGTAGGTACTGCCGTTTTCACGTTCATGGCGCGTTATTAACACCACTCTAGGCCCCCGGAGCCGGCAACAGAAGAGTCGACGATGACGATGGGCATTACATTATTGTCCCAGACAGCCATGTCACTAATCAATGTGAGTGGCAGCCCTCCTAGCCACGAGCTAGTTCACAATACTTACGAAGCTTTAGTCCAAATAAAGCGCCTAATTGGTCAAGGAACCTTCGGAAAGGTTGTCCAAGCCAAGGACTTGGACAAGAGCGATTCCGTCGCCATCAAGATCATTCGATCCGTTCAAAAGTATCGAGACGCCGCCAAGATAGAGCTTCGAGTCTTACAGACACTTCGGCAGAACGATCCAGATAATAAGTACAAATGCATTCATCTCCGAGATTGCTTCGACTTTCAAGGACATATTTGCATTGTAACGGAGCTGTTGGGCTGCAGCTTGTTCGACTTCCTCAAGGGGAACGGATTTGTACCGTTTCCAAACAGTCACATCCAGAGCTTTGCAAAACAGCTGTTAACCAGTGTCGCCTGTAAGATCACTTTTCCTCATGGACATTTAGTCCGTCACCAGAAGCCATTCTAACATGGAAGCAGTTCTTCACGATATCGGGATCGTCCATACTGACTTGAAACCCGAAAACATTCTTCTGAAAGACGAGAAATACCAAACGTTCACTTACCACCGCAACATCCCTACATCTCGTACATCCTCTCCCCGGCAAGCGAACCAAAGGAAGGTCTTGTTAGGTTCGGAAATCAGGCTTATCGACTTTGGGTCTGCTACTTTCAATGATGAATACCATTCTTCGGTTGTTTCAACGCGGCATTACAGAGCCCCCGAGATCATTATGGGCCTAGGCTGGTCTTACCCTTGCGATATTTGGAGTATCGGCTGCATTCTTGTCGAGTTCTACACTGGTGATGCACTTTTCCATACGCACGACAATATTGAGCATCTTGCCATGATGGAAGCAGTGTTTGACGCGAGAATCGACCCAGATCTAGTCCGCCAAGTCAACAAATCAGGGTCTAAGAGTAGCAGTAACCCTGCCACGTATGTCCCCCCCCCAATGAACACGGTTTATGCATCGATAATAACAACTTGGTTGTTTTAGATACTTCAAGCGTTTGAAGCTCAACTACCCCACGCCGGAGACGACTAGGGGTTCACGGAGATTTGTGCGAGCAATGAAGAAGTTAACGGTAGGCTGAGCTAGCCTCTTCCTCTTGGAAGTTATAACAGGGCTAACTATTCGATAGGAGACCATCCCCTCCACAAGCTCCTTCCTCCGCAATTTCCTCGATCTCCTTCAAAAGATGTTTGCATACGACCCAAGCCGCCGCATCACCGCAAAGGATGCGCTGCTCCATCCTTTCTTTCAGGTTGTTCTTCGGGACGATGGCACCGAAGCTGCAAGGATCGCCCTAGAAAAAGCACAGAAGTCGAGAGCAGTTGGATGATTCTACCACTCGTCATTCAGCAAATAATACACATTTACTCTTGCGGGGTCGCCTGGTTCATTCATTTGACAGACAAGGTCCTTATTTTCGATCCGATGACCCTCCTGCCCAAGGAATTCCTGCAAAACCAACTTGCGGATCCTGGAATAGCTGGATTTTCTACGAGCGATAGCCACAATCCAATTCAACAACAAGATACCCCCGTTTAAGCAAGCGAGACGGCCTCCCAGAGGCAGGCCAAACCGCACCGACCTAGAACCTCAAGCCCCACCCTCCAAGCAATCCTTACCCTACCGGAAAGGTAGGTAGGAGAGGCTTATTCGATAAGCACTACTTGGCCTGGCTTGTTGTGATCTCTTCTGTAGGGAATATTTCACTGACTCTTTCCCGTCCCCGAACAAGCAAAGAGGCGTTCTTCGGTCCAACGATAGCCAGTTATCTTCTGGCTGAACGGCACATTCAATAACCAATAGTGCTGAGCCCTGGTCGGGTCCTACTTACCATTTTAGAATGAGCGTCTCGATGGATTTCACATGCGATGCAGTGGTATGATGATGAGTTAAAGAAAAAAAGTTCGGCACCACACGGGCAACTAAAGACTTGCATATCAGATTTACGATATTAGCGACTAGGCACGAGCATTGCTACAAACATCAAATAGCGAAGGTTTCATGATCCCCAAGCAACGATATGCAGGCTTGGACAGGCCCTCTCCCATTTTCGATAGTAGATAGCACCACTGGTTTTCACCAAACCTACATCTCTGAACATCAGTGGCTCTTTGTTTCCTCTTGCTCTCTCTGTACGTCAGCGACCTCTTGTTGGGGACTCGACTGGCGAATGGCTGCAGAATCAAAATTAGAGGGGCAATCACAATGGCTTACATCCATGTAATTTGCTATTTCTTAACTAATTTTCTACAAAAAATCAGGATTTATTTGGGCAACCCTCATTAAAGGACGGTGTGATCCTATGAATGTCATCCAGGACCACTTTCTCCCACCACTGCACTTGTGTATTTGTCAAGTCTTGAGCATTGGTTGCCGTCCTGGATATGCGATCAATATCCCTCGCTGGGTCTCGATGAGTCTAGCTGTCTAAATTTACTCCTTTCCAAATCATCCCGAGAGGCAGGGAGACCTGTGGATGAATATGTTCAGTCCCGAGCCCACAGATATCCTGGGAGGTTCCCCAGGGCTATTCAGCTGGAAATGTTCCCGAGTTGCTTATGTTTTCAGCTTATCTGTTTTGCAGAAACACTGCGTCACACTTTGTCCCTCAAACATTAGGCGGCCATATTTATATGGTACAGAGGTGAAATGCAACAAGGCTTATTCATTCAGGAGCACCCGTTGAGCGGGCGTTTCTTTATCCCACGGTCCTAATGTTAGAGGTAGGGATCAGATGGGATGCTTTGTCCAGTCCTTCTGAATGAAACACGATCACAACTGATTTCAGCAGATGAAGCCTGAATCACAAGACTTGGTCGGTGGTATGGGCGTGGTATTGATCATCCCCCAAAATCAGAAGTTAGGAAATTCGATAGAACTAAGACCGTACTATAGCTTGGAGCTTGCTGGTAAGAGATTGTGGCCCACCATTTGCAGCATCAACCCCATATAAGGGATGTGGTAGAAGATTTAGTTACGGACAGATTGAGACAGACATTGTCACCCTCAGCTTCAGTGACGGGTGCCCTGAGTTGGGAATCTTACCGCCGATTCCTCATCGTTGAAAACTAGAGTTAAGGTGAGAGACTTGAATATGTTGACTGATGATAGACGATGAAGCTAGCTAGGGTCGATGTCCTTGGGCTGGTGAGGTATGGAGGCTCTATACATGCTTTTTCAACAAGTTAATAAATAACGATATGGGGCCGGTTTTGAAAATGCGTATTCGTAACTCGAATGTAGAGAAATCAGCTTTGTTCGACAAGATAGGCTACTGCTGGTATGATTAACAAGGCATCAGGAGTATACACCCTCTGGAAAATGAGCGATTCAGAACTTTCGGCCTTGAATGTAGCCGAGCACGTCAGCTGCAAATTTCTGCTAACCTATGTTCAGTCACAGTATACCATGCAATAGAAAAGCCCAGTCACATCTTAATGAACCAACAAAGATTACTTCCTTAGGTGGGCATTCTCTATCTTGAATTGGCTCCAGCTTATTGGCATGATAGCCATCAAGATCTCTCAGTATCAGCTTCTACCTGCATGCTACGGATGGCTTGCCCTCCTGACTCGAATCCTATTCCATCAATCTCAATTGGAAGTTAAACTAGGATACGACGTCAATTCAGATAAAAACATGAGAGTCATCCTTCTCAAGATCCTTGGATACTACATTAGTGTCAAAAAGTCCAACAGTTCCTTCAGAGGCTGGCCAACTCAAGCCAGTCCGCGTCACACCTCTCATTCCAAGATTATATTATATAAACGAGAAGCACGAAGTTATTTCAATAGGTGAGCTCGAAAATAATACAACCGAACCTTTTCACAATATGATCATGTGCAGCAAGCTACATAACGGAGCCCACGCTATAGGACTTGAACTCGGCCCTGAGCTCCAGGTTTGCGAGTTAGCATCCAAAGGCTAGTTGATAGAATCTGCAGAAAACGATCGTGTATAGGCATTTCGGGAGGCTCTTGTCAACATTGACAGTGTTTCTGCTTGCTTCTGCACTATATTTGAAAATACACAACTTCCTCTTGATAGGGCTTGGCACATGTATGTGAGTTTACTCGTGCTTTTCCCACCGCAGAACATACCTTTTGACTACTTTCACACCAATCTTTACATTTAAATATGCTCGCTGAAATTTCATGGATGCGCCGAGACTTGCGTGCCTCATGCTCTCAAGCTCCTAACTCAGGCATGCACTGGGTCAATCGGGAGAAGGCAAATGCATTGATCACTACACGGGCGGCCGCCCTCGATATCTGGCATTTGAACTGTTTCCATTACCGGCGACCTTTGGTACGGAGGGGTATTGGCCACCACACCATCATGTAGTGTTTCTTATCAAGGTTATTCAGCTGGAATGTTCATACCCCATTGCGGCTCAAATGGTTTATCGGAGAGCGGGGATGGGGGAAGAGGAAACGTTCCCCACGTTGGCTCTAGAATGACAAGGTTAGGATTTAACGTTAATTGCATCGTGTGATCAAGCACGTTGATGTCATGGGAATGCTCCATCAACCATGTGCTTTCACGATGCGGAGTAAGGAAATCTAACCGGGGATAAACGTGATTTCAGCGGAGAAGGTCCGTTGAAGAGGCGACATTGGACAAAAGGGGAGAGGTGGGAAATTAAACTCTCAATTGAGTACTCGAACTTGGAATGAATATTCCGAGCTAGCCCGGGATTCTCAATCGCTTTATGAAATGGAGAAAGCGACATAGTTGTGATGATGATTGTGCTCATGGATGTTGGAATCTAGCTATAGGGTAGCCAGAACCTGGAGATGCAGTAGCCCCGCGCTTGAGCCGTGTCGCGTCGCGTGTCAGCGACTGCCCCTCGTCACTTAACGCGTCCCACTAGCAAATGGCCTGAATCGACTCTGCATCTTCTGGTACCCTTCACCGATTGAACGGACAATCGTGCTGTCATTTCTCCATAAGCGGCATATTTATTCCTTGGTTGACATAGAACATCGCAGTTATGGCGCCCACATCAACTCACGAGGAGAAGCAATACCTCGATCTGATCCGCGAGATCTTGGAAGAGGGCGAGCGGCGGCCAGATCGGTAAGTAGACGACATCCCACCCTGCATGCATGCGCGCATGCAGTAGGACAAAAACACTACATGGTGGGCATCACGGCTAATATCAACCAACAGCACAGGAACCGGCACGATATCCATTTTCGGAGCCCGCCTCAAGTTCAAACTCAACGACAACGGCCGTCCCGTCCTGCCCCTCCTCACGACGAAACGAGTCTTCCACCGCGCCATCATCCTCGAGCTCCTCTGGTTCATCCAGGGCAACACATCGTCGCTCGCGCTCAGCGAGCAGGGCGTCAAGATCTGGGACGGCAACGGGTCGCGCGAGTTTCTCGACAAGCTCGGCCTGACCCATCGCGAGGTGGGCGACCTGGGCCCCGTCTACGGGTTTCAGTGGCGGCACTTTGGGGCCGAGTACGTCGACTCCAAGACCGACTACACCGGCCAGGGCGTTGACCAGCTCGCCGAGCTCATCCAAAAGCTCCGCACGAACCCTTACGACCGCCGGATGATCCTGTCGGCGTGGAACCCCAAGGACATGCCCAATATGGTGCTGCCCCCCTGCCACATGTTCGCCCAGTTCTACGTCTCGTACCCCTCACCAGCAGCATCGACGAACGGGGCCGCCGCTGCGAATGGAGGCGATGCGGAGGAGGTCAAGCCCAAGGGCCACCTGCACTGCCAGCTGTACCAGCGGTCCTGCGACATGGGCCTGGGCGTCCCGTTCAACATCGCCAGCTACGCGCTGCTGACGCACATGCTCGCCCACGTCTGCGACATGGTGCCGGGCAGTCTCACCCACGTCATGGGCGACGCGCACGTCTACCTGGACCACGTCGACGCGCTCAGGGAGCAGCTGGAGCGGGAACCCCGGCCCTTCCCCGAGCTGGAGATCAAGCGCGAGAAAGGGGGCGAGATTGACGGGTGGAAATTGGAGGATTTCGAGATTAAAGGATACGAGCCGCACAAGTCAATTCAGATGAAAATGTCTGTCTAAGAAGCTGGATCAGGGGAAGAGCCAAGAGAGTAAAGGACGAAGCCGCTAGGAGTGAATACTGTTTCGCATTTAAAGTTAAACGCATATATTTGGGATCACTTGTTTATAGATGGAAAATGTTTTATGATGCGCCATGGCTACGATTGAGACATGCAATTACCAAAACGCACAGCCTTGCCTTGACCTTTCTTTTGGCCACTAGTTAGTGATCTATCAGTTGCTAGTATTAATAGAGTTTCTCGAGAACAGCGGAAATGAGGAGGCTTGAGCGTGTGGCG